AGTCAGTGCTCTTAACTGCAGAGCCCTCTCTCCAGTCCCAAATATGATTACATTATATATTTGAAACTGGCATTTTTTTTGGGGGGGGGGAGACAGGGTCTCATTATGTAGCCCCCAGCTGGCCTGGAATTCACTATGTAGACCATCTCAGGCTGGCCTCAATCTTACAGAGATCCACCTGCTTCTGCCTCCTGAGTGCTGGGATTAACGTTTCAAGCCTGGTAAAACTGCCTTTTAAAAACTCAACATTGATTTAACTATTTAGATACATATCTTTATTTATTAATTTGTAACCCCTGTATAGTGTTCCATGATATGACTAGTTTGATTCACTTCTTCATTCTTCTACTGATGGACATTTCAGTTGCTTATCCCTTCATTTAAAAAATGTCTCAATGAACAGCGGTATCTTTTTTTTTTGTAATGTGTATGTGGCAGCATCAATGTAGCACACTTCCAACACTCAGAACCTTCTTATCTTGCTCTCCTTGTACACACATGCAAATTTCTCCAGTAGGATCCTTGATATGAAGGTTCTAGTGTCAACATCTCACCATGGAACCAAAATGCTCTCCAAAGTATACATGCCAGTTTCCACCAGCAGCAACAAAGGATCTCGGTGCTCCACATCCTTGCCAACTCTCTGACACTGTTTGGTGTTTGCCAATCTGATAGCTGTGAAATAGTATCTCATAGTTGCTTGGGGCAACTCGAGCGAGGCAAGTTCCATTCTCTGTATTAGCCATTTGGATTTCTCCTGTCATATACTTCATCGTTTCTCTAATTCAGCATTTATCTTTTTCTCATTAATTTGTACTTTAAAACGTAATCTGTGTACCGATTTTTCTGTTATATGTTGTAACTAGTTTTCTTAGTCCAGTGCTTTCTTATCTCTGTTAGAATATTTTTCTCTGTTCTGAATTTTTTGTTTTGATGTGTTAACCTCTTCCTTTTGCCTGTTTATTTTTATAAATTGTATTGTTTATTAAATTATAAACTTTTTAATCCAAAAGAAAAATGCAGACTAAGAGAAACCTCCAAGTACAAGGGCAAGGCAGCAAGGCCTACTGAAAGGGGCACCAGGAGTGCGCTACAGATTCTGAAAGCTGCTGCTTTACATGTCTAGTTCAAGATCTGTCTGTAAAAGTTGCTATTCGTGTATTTTTAAATCATGAATTCACATCTATTTTGTTTAAGAAATTCTTCCCTTTCACAATGTCATAAAGGTAAGACATTATTTTTTTCCTAAAAGTTTGATATGCACTAGGCCTTTAATCTCATCTGGACTTTAATACGGTGTAGTGTGGGCTGAGGATCTAATTATTTCTCCATGTGGACAGGCGGTTCTCCCAGAACCACTTATTAAATAAATGGCCTGTCTTTCCCCATCCAATTGTAGATCCTCTGCTGGCACACAGAGGTTCCCACGCATGCTTGGTTTTGAGTCCATTGCACTGATGGGTGGGACCATCCCTGGGCCAGCAGCAGACTGCTGGGAGCATACAATGCCCCTCCTTGCTCTTCTTTCTCAGACTTGTCTCGGGGGTTTTTGAGGCTCACTATTCCATATGAATTCTATAATACATTTGTGGATTCCACATATAATCCAATCCTATAAGGACTTATGGAATTTCACTGAGTTAATGGATTAATTTGGAGGCAAGTAACTTTCAGGGGTTGTAGGTATGGTTCAGTGGTAGAGCATTAACAATTCCTTAAAAAAATGCTATAATTTTCTTCATAAAATTCTACCCTCGAAAGAACTTATTCCTAAACATCGTAATGGTTTTATGCAGAAATGGACCATAATTTCTTTCATTTTCTCCTTCACTAATGTGCAGGTGGCTAGAGTTGTTCTGGAAGCCCACGCAACTCTCCTACCAGTTCTCAGAGCTGATCTCTAGGTTCCCTTGGGTTATCTGTGCAGTTATGTCAACTTCCAATAATAGTATTTGACTTCCTAATTTTTAGTTCTTTAAAAATTATTATGGGCTACAGAGATGGCTCAGCAGTTAAGAGCACTGGTTGCTCTTGCAGAGGATCAGGGTTCGGTTTCCAACATCCATATGGTGGCTAACAACCATCTGTAACTCCAGTTCCAGGGGAATCCGACGCACACTTCTGACCTCTGAGGGCACTACATGCCCGCTTCTGACCTCTGAGGGCATTCCATGTCATGGGTGTGCTTACATACATGCAGGCAAATTACTTCATAAAATAATAAAAATAACAGTAAAAATTATTATTACATTTATTTATTTTGTGTATGTTTGTGTATGTATGTCATGGCACACATGTAGAAGTCAAAGGATACCTTTTGGGAGTTGGTTCTCTCTCCTTTCATAAGGGTCCTTGGTCTAGAACTCAGGTCATCAGACTTGACAGCAAGCTCCTCTACCACCTAAGTCACCTCACCAGCCCATAATTTTTATTTTTTGTTAAAAACAAACCTGTTGCATTATCTGGAATGATGCCTAGAGCGGTGGAGAGTGGCCAGCTTGTCTTATGCATATTTTTAAGCCTGTATATGACTGGGAAAGACGTCCATAACTCGAGAAAGAGGACTAACCACTGGCCTATGTTGCTGTTGGGTCACGTTAAATAAGTCAAATCAGGTATCGTTGCATGAAAGAAATTAAAGCAATCAAGCAAGAACTCAGTGCGGGCAGATGGACAGACAGGAAAACCAAGGTCATAACTCAGGCAGGTACAGAACAGAACACTAATTGCCCATTAAGGGTTTGGAGTAAGAGGCACGCACCTAAAGGAGATCTCAGAGGAGAGAATGTAGCAAGAGACAAAGCAGGTGGTATGATGGCAGAGTGACACAGGCTCACCGTGTGAACACAGGCAGCTCCCTTCCTCTCCCCTACCCCCATTTACTCATCTATAAAGCAAAATTAATAACATCTATATCTTAGTTATGAGTCAAATTCTCCTGGTTGAAAAAGGCAGTAAGATTTTTAAAGAGTCCTTACTGAGTGGGTAGATGTTGGAAAGCTCCAGGCCTTTTCCACATTAGTTGTGTACTTAAAGGTGGGAAAAGAAAAGTCAGTTTGGGAATAAAGAGTAACAGGCTTTCCTTAAGTCATTACACCCAAGCCCTGGAGACAGCACCTAACCCCAACATTTCTCAGTTCAGAAACATCCCCAAGGTGTCCCTGCCAGAACCAAGTCTACCAAACTGAGTGAGCAGGCTGGATGGAGTCCCTAGGCTGCACTGTAGGAAGCTGGGGAGACCCTCAGATGCCAGAGAATACCCCAAGGTGATGAGGTACATGCCCAGAGAACCATCTCAGCCACAGGCAAAAACAGCAGAGCAGACCTTGTTCATAAGCAACTGAGTGAGGCACATTAGACTCAAAGGCCAGCATGACCAGGGGTGGGCACTGGTATGCCTGGGGACAGGGATGTCAAGCAGGAGGTAACTGTGTCAAGCAGGAGGTTAACTGTGGCACCGTGCCTCTCCACTCCTCTCTTGCAATGTCGGAGAGCTCGTAGCTCAACTTCAGCTCCACTCTGCACATTTAATTACAGGAGCCGAAATCCCAGGCACTTTGTAATTTACTGTGCAGTTTAAGAATCACTTTTTGCTGAAGACAAATTGCTGGGCCACCTGGGCAGAGCAGCAAAGAGTGGCAGGAGTTGGGGTCCCTATGCAAACAGGAGAGTTTTTTTCAGCCCAGACAATTAGCCCTGGAGATTTGATGGCTACAGAAAGAAATGGAGCCAGTGCTACCTAAGGCAAAATCTCAGCTCCTAGGATGTTTGAAGACACACAAAACATGTGATTGTGTTCTTTTAGATAGTCTGACTTGCCTCATGAAGTAGTCTTCACACAGCAAATGTCCCCTTCCGGGAGGCCTTCCACCCCACATCCCTACCATCAACATCAAGTGCAGAACAAATGTCATTTAGATCGGGACCACAGCACACTTACGCTGGCTTCTGTCACGGATAATGATTAAACTAAATTTAACACTGCCTGGCATCAAGGTTTGAGTTATGAGGCGGCGCTCCCTGTCTCCTCACTCGATTCTGAATGTGTAGTTTGCAGATCTGTTAACTGTGCTGAAAGGTCTCCTGGTGGGACCATACACTTGAGCCTGCTGAGGCCCTCCACGGGCCATAAACCATAATCAACCCATCCCATTGCCCCTCTGCAGGGCTGCAGCAGGAAAAAGGGCCCTGCACTGACAGTCCTTGGGAACTATGCTGACTTAGTGCCCAAAGCTTGCCTTCTCTGGCTAAATGACAGCCAGCCCAAACCACGAGGGTGGGAGGAGGTGGGAGGCTCTTCCAACCGGCTTCTAGCTTCCGAACACTAGGTCGTCCCAACAACAGTGTGCAGTACGCAGTCCCCACCCCCAGTTAAGAACAAGCCTAGGAAACGACTTGCCCAAGGTGGCGCTTCTAGTGTGCACACAGCTGCCCTTCCAGCTGTAGCCGGAGTCCAAACGCAAAGCACTCTTCCTCCGTGCCTAGGGAGGTTTTAAATGCAGAGTCCGGCCTCCAACCGCCCCGGCAGCCGCTGGGTCCGGTGCACTCCTGGGCTCCTCCCTGACCCAGACCTGACTCCTGGGCACAGGCGCCCGCACACCGCGCCTCCCCGCAGCCGTGGTCCCGTCTCCCGAGTCAAGCTCTCATCGTCCACCCAGCGACTGACCACTCTGGCACGCGCACCAGTCCAGCGCCCAGCGCCGCCCGTCGAAGGCAGAGTGGCCGGCGAAGCCAGCTGGGACTCGGAGGCCACTGAGACTGAGTAGACCCTGAGGACGGTGCGGGTGGGCAGAGCACGGCACCCCAGAGAGCACCCACTCCGCGCGTCCGGACAGGTGTCCGAGCCGGGTCCGGGCTTCCGATCACCCACGCAGGCCACCCAGTCCTCCCCGCCGAGTGTCCCACGCGCCTCAGTCCCGGCGGGCGCCCCCGCGGTCCCCAGCTGTGCAGGCCGCCCGCCGCCGGGAAAGTTTGGGGCGCGCGATGCCGGCCGCACTCACCTGGCCCAAGTTGAGGTAGCCGTGCGCCGCGGCCACGCGGTCCGCAGCGCCGGGGCCGCCCAGCACTTGCACTGCCCAGTGGTTGGTGTAGACGGGGCGCGGCGGCGGCGCGGAGCAGGCGGCGGGCAG